ACATCCAACTGCCACAACCTTACCAAGAATAAATACTTATTTAGTGTTTTTATATAGGTTATCATATTGGCTATTAACTATAACAAACATTGACGTCCAACTGCCACAACCTTACCAAGAGTAAATACTTATTTAGTGTTTTTACTTAGGTGATCATATTGGCTATTAACTATAACAACAGCTGACATCCAACTGCCACAACCTTACCAAGAATAAATACTTATTTAGTGTTTTTACTTAGGTGATCATATTGGCTATTAACTATAACAACAGCTGACATCCAACTGCCACAACCTTACCAAGAGTAAATACTTATTTAGTGTTTTTACTTAGGTAATCATATTGGCTATTAACTATAACAAACATTGACGTCCAACTGCCACAACCTTACCAAGTATATAACTAAGTAATAACTAAAGACTTACCTGATCATATTGGCTATTAACTATAACAACAGCTGACATCCAACTGCCACAACCTTACCAAGAATAAATACTTATGTAGTGTTTTTTTTTCAATAGAAAAATTACAGGCAATTCCATTCACCAGAAAAGCATTTATTACACTTACATATCCATGTTTGCAATGACGAAAATTCACTTCTCTGCTTCATAAAACGTTTTGAAGACTTTAACTGAAACTTAATATTCCTTTTTTTGGTTGTTTTTCTAAGAATATGTGCCTGTATATCAGTAGATATTAAATTTGTATATGGAGTGTAGCACTGCTATTTTTAGTGTCTCAGTTCAGAGTAATGTTGCATATGTACCAAAACACTCAACTCTGAAATAAGTAATTTTTACTCCAACTTTCACTAATTTCTCTAATGAAATGCTAAAAGGGTTTCTACAAAACTATAAAACTAAAAGTATTAAATTTCTAGATATACCACCAGACGTACTTGAATCCTGAAGATAGTTACTTTTACAAATCTTCCTCCCAACTAAAGAAAGTAAACTAGCTGGTTAATCAGCTTACTAAAGGAAACTTTAGATTTCATTCAAATTTTTTATTTTATGAGATTTTTAACCTAAACTTTGTATTTCATCGAAACTGTCATTTTTTTGCTACGTAATGAACTATCAAACAAAATACCACCATATAAAATTACTTGTAAAGTGTAGTGAAAATAATCGAGTTACTTAAAATAACATTTTACATAAATTCCAGTAATTCTTTAGTTTTATATTTATTTTTCTGGTTCCTCATCATTAAACATTTCCATTTTATTACAACCTCAAAATACAAATGTTGGTAATGTTAACTGGAGGACATGAATAAAGAAACTTACCTCAGATTCTCACCTCCCTCTGCTACATGATGCTCTAATCCTTCAGAAAGTGATATAACATATGGCTTCAGGTGAGCATGTTCTAGAACACTCCACAATTGTTCATCTGTAAACTCTTTACTTGGATCAAGATTGATACGTAGAGTTCCAGTAAACAGCACGGGATCCTATGGTATAAACAGTTTTTCAATAATAGCTTGCATTTAAGTTTTATAAAAAAAGAATGTGACATAACTGTGTGAAAAACAATAATAACCTGAACTTTATCCTCACAAAGCGAACAACCAATAATTTAGTAATAATATTACTACAAAGCCCAAAAGCATCAGAAGAAAAATATTGAAACTGTACTGTGAAAAGAAAGAAAAATGACCTACATGAAAGTAATAATTATTTTTGCTTACCAACGAGTCTTTACTCAGAAATAATTATCTAACATTAATTTGTTAGCAATGCTACAAACCAAGTGCTGCACAGTTCATTTCTAATAAACTACATGGTTAAAAACCACAGTTTTTGTATTATTCTCAAAGTAAAAATTATACTGTTCAAGTTATGCAGTGTTAGTGGTTTTACATTTTAACTATAGCAAATGTCATCGGTCAATAGTGTAAAGCTTAAAGAATTAAAGGTCAATAGTGTAAAGCTTAAAGAATTAAAGGTCAATAGTGTAAAGCTTAAAGAATTAAAGGTCAATAGTGTAAAGCTTAAAGAATTAAAGGTCAATAATAGCAGCACTATAGTAATTTTTAACAGGCATGTCAAAATACTGGTGGCTAACTAGACATGTGATGGATGTTACAAAATAGTACAGTATAGAACTGGACAGCTCTTAAATATCATGTTTGACTCAAATGGAATTTCAAAAACTAGCTATGAATGAGGAAAAAAATCAAACGACAATGCACTTAAGAAATTCAGGTCTCACAAGATAAATAGATCCATGTTTAGGAATGCAAAAAGTATACACAAAACAGATTAACAAGGATTACAAAATTGCCAAAGTCACATTTTTGACTAAACTATTTCTGTTCTTCAGGTCAGTTGAAAAATAAATAAGTAAAAATATGAGTATTAAAGTACGTTACTTACATATAATAAATCAGAGAAAAATCATAGTAAAAAACAAATATGACAAAATAAACTGTGAAAATGTAAGGCAATATATTAATAGTTCTTAACACTATTTTTAAAGTGAGCTTGCAGGAAAAACGCTAGATGACAACACTTCAACAACACATTATAGGATGCTGACCAGTCAGATTTGTTTGGAGATTACAGGAATAAAGCCATATAGGCTATCTTCACTAAATGATTGGTTATTTTGTTTATTAAATAAGTACTATGAAATAGTAAAAAGATAAAAGAAATGTGTGTAAGATAAACATATAAAGTTGCTTTATCTAATGTTTAGTACATTATATTAAAAGCTTTTTAATATGCAAATCAGCAAGTCACATGACAGTCACAGCCAATATAAAGTTGCAATGAAATAGCGTGTATCAAAACTACATTTTAACACTGTGAGGCATACCACAGTTAGTGTGTACAAATGAAAACTGATCACTTTTAGGAAGGGTACATAACAGTCCTTTCCAATGCAAAATATTCATACACTCAGATCATATAAATGTGTTCAGTCCAGGAATTTAGAATTTCCAAGATGGAAATGTTCATTATACTTTAAAACATTAAAAAACATAGGAATATGGATCAACTAGGGAGACCAGGACCATCTAGAAAGAGATATTCAACAGGTCATACCCCAACTGTTATAAGGAAGTGAAGCCTTTAGTAATAAGTGAGAATTCATTATCAGAAAGGACAGTAGCAAAACCCATTCATATGACCTAGGCAGCAGTACACAAAATAATTGAGAAGGATCTCCATCTGGAAAAGCAATGCAAGTCACATGTATACAAGGTGCTTATACAACGTATCAGTTCAAGCAGTTGTAGGCTAAAATGTGTGTTCATGCTTTTTCACATGTTTGCTAAATAATTATGGTTAAAAATAGGTAAACGGCCACGCAATGCATATTAATGAAGATCCCGTAAAATATCAAAACTCCATGTGGTGTCATAAAAGATAGAAACTAGATGCTTCCTCTTGGGAAAGGGCCTCCTGATTGACAGATGTTGTTATTCAAAGAACCACAAAAGATGACCATTAACTGACCACTCCTGAACTTTTACATAGACAGCTAGTCAAAGCAATAGGTCTATTATTAAATGTAATCTTAGGTTCCTTCCCAGGCCTAGAAAAAGGAATGAGAGTGGTGTTCTGTTAAATCCAGTTAAAAAGAACCAAAATAAGATCAAAAATATGCAGGACAGAGATGGCACACCATCTCATAATGGATGTTATGAGTTTCACATGATGTATTTCCAGATCGATGTAGAGTTTAAATTCCACCAGAGTGAATGATCAGTTATAGCTGTAAAGACAACCAGATAAAAAAGAAGTTGGGGTTCTTTTAACCAATGTCTTGATGGCAAAGAAGGCAAAGGGAAGAGGTGGAAGTGCTTGAGTAGTGGGAGAAGTTCTCTCCAAATGTGCTAGCAACTTCTTTACCATTGGATTACAAGATTGAGAAGGGATGGGTTTGTTTGTTTGTTGTCAGGCACAAAGCTATACAATAGGCTATCTGTACTGTGTTCACTAAGGGCATCAAAACCCAATTTTCACCATTATAAGCCTGCAGACTCATTGCCATGCCACATGGGGAGAAGGGATGAGATGTATACTTCCCATTCACCTTTCAAATCTTCTCCCCAAAAAATCTCAAAACTGGTAACAGAAATTATGTGGGAAATGAACTTTAATCCCCAATTCTTTTTGGCTTTGATATTTAACCTACCAGGCATAAATACTAAACTTAAGTTAAACTTGTAACTATAAACATAAGAATGATCACCTGTGGAATTACAGTGAGTTTTGATCGTAGATCATG